AGTTGGGATGAAACGGTAAAAAACGATCAGTTTTTTTTCAACTTTTATATACTTTTTCTAAAAAATAATCGATAATGTCGATTGGGAATGAAATCGGATCTCAAATACTAAGCTATTCAGTCCATAATAAGTTGATAATGGTCAGAAACTGGTAATAGATCGATATTGGGAAGATTGTTACGCCAAACCATACCACAATAGTGAGTTTATTATTTGTCTTGGTGCATATCACTACACTACATTGAGCCAAGGATAACGAATTAGCAAACATGTTGTACATGATGAATGTATGTATAATATGACCAAAATGGGACCTATCTCATTACTTATATGTCATATCCACAGGTGCTACTGGATTTATTCGGTGCTACCCTCTAACTGTGCACCGGTGAAAGTGGTCTGATGTTGTGTGCTTGGGAAGTTTCAGAAGGGATCACCACAAAGGAAGGTGCTAGTCAGCGGACTTTTCATAACTTGTGCTCGTGGTAGCTTGAGTAGTTTTAGTGGTAGCATCTCTAGTCGATTAGAAGTAGTTCTATTAGTTGCTCTTTGTGTAGCTCAGTTAGTAATACTCTTAGCTTCAAGTAGCCTGTGTGGTTTAGTTGGAATAGATGATCTTGTTACTAAAATTGTGTAGGAGGACTTGCATTGAAGCGACTAGGATAAGCTGGTAGTGGCTATTAGGATTGTCTGTAGTACTAATCACTTGGACTAGTGTTTTTTGTGTTTGAAGAAAGTTTTAATAGGCTATTCACCCCGCTCTATCCATAAGTCCTTTCACTCATGCAAACCTAGACATATATAGAAACCATACGCTAATTGAAAGTATGATGAGCATAAACGTTGTTGCATGGTCATATGTGGTTTTCAATTATTATTTATATAATGTTATACATTATACAAGAGATACTTTTTGATGTTACATGCAACTTTTTTTTGATGTTATATGCGACTTATGCACAGATGGCCAAACGCCACGGAAGGAATGTTTGAACATGCTATCGACGAATAATGGGAATTCCAAAAGATTTTTAACTCTTGTGAGTGCCTAAGAATATCTTATGCACATCATAATTAAGCGAAGTGCCGTAGAATACGAGTCTTAGTGAACACAGTTATTATGGTATAAACTTAGTTGTCTCGATTTCAAAGACAAACATGAATCATATGTTGGATATATTATGGGCTTGACCCATATAATATTTAATAAATTAAATAAACTCTATGGCTCGTATTAATTCATACACGATCTATGGTTTAATACCATACGGAATTTTGACTTGATGTTGACTCAGTTTATATGGTTGGACATTGTCTATCCATATTGAGAAGCTGAAAAAATAATGTTGGTGTGCCACAAGCGCGCGCGCCGCCGCCGATGGCCGGGCAGTGACCATGGGCGTGGGCGTCGGCGTGCCAAGCGAGCGGATGGACGGGTTTTGCCAATCAAATCACATAATTACGGGAGTTAGGATGTTGGTGTGCCACACGCGCACGCGCTGCCGCCCACGGCCCGGCGTGGGGCGAGGCGAGGCAGGCGAGCGGGCGGACAGGACAGGTTTTGCCAATCAAATTATGTAATTACGGGAGTTACTTCCTTTTTTGTGTTACTGGTGGCTTCATGGCGGAAGTTTTGCCTGTTCCTGCCATTCCATCCTTCTGCGCCCGCACGTCTTCTCTGTCCTCTGATCTCCTCCTTCGTCCGTTCACTTCCCTGGCCGCGAGTTTATAATCTCGGCTCCTCCGTCAGTCATCTCCTTCACTTCCAAGACAACCACATATTCAGCTGCTCCAAAGCTTCTTTATCCCAGTACTTGCGCGCACGAGTCATGGGAGAGCAGGCCTCCGAAACGCCTATTGTCTATAAGTTTGCCTGCTCGGGTGGAAGGCGTCAATCACATTTTTGGGGAGTGTTGCTGGTGGCACGACTACTCGCTACTGGGGAACTCCATCTCCGGTGATCGGCACTGCTACTCATTTGCACTACGTCGAGCGGGATGACTACATCGATAGGCACTATGTCTTCGAGTGCATCCGGCTCTGCCGCTAGGTATGTTACTGTTAATCCAACCTTTCCCGTAAGGTTTTTGGCTTCAATTTCGTTTCTTAGTATGTTCTACATATTTGCCACAATAAGATCATACATGCACATACATGATGTCACAAGCCTTTTGATTATTGCTATTTTCTAGATCAAAGTATTACTGAAATTGCTTAAAATTCTAACAATCCAAAAACGTGATAGGCAATTCTCAGTAATTGGCCTTGCGAGTATGCTGAAACCGAATATTTTTAGGACACTCATTACAAGAGGTGGCGGTATAGGTGCATTCTATGGTTGACTGCTATGCACTGCTATTTTATCGCTGAACCTAGGGTTGTTGGGCCGCATACTCCTGATGAGGAGCGTGCGTTCAAACATGTTGATGCTACGTTCAAGGCTGCAATTATGAGCGTGCTAGGAGACTCCATAGTTGATGCATATGTGCCGCTACAGACTGGTAAAGAGATGTAGGATATAATTGAGGCCGAATATGGAGTTTCTGATGCTAGTAGTGAGTTGTATGTCATAGAGCAGTTTCATGACTACAGGATGGTTGATGACCGTTCTGTAGTAGAACAAGCTCATGAGATACAAACACTGACAAAAGAGCTCGAAATTACTTTCAAGGCTGCAATTCTAAGTGTGCTAGGAAACTCCATAGTTGATGCATATGTGCCGCTACAAACTGGTAAAGAGATATGGGATGCACTTGAGGCCAAATATGGAGTTTCTGATGCTGGTAATGAGTTGTATGTCAAGGAGCAGTTTCATGACTATACGATGATTGATGACCGTTCTGTAGTAGAACAAGCTCATGAGATATAAACACTGACAAAAGGGCTAAAAAATTTTGGTTGTGTATTGCCAGATAAGTTTGTGGCAGGCTATATTATTGCAAAGCTGCCACAGGCTTGGATAGATTTTGCTACTTCTCTAAAACATAAGAGACAGGAGTTTGGCATTGCCGATCTCATTGGCTCTTTGGATCTTGAAAAGAAGGCGAGAGCAAAGGACGTTCGTGGCAAGAAAACTGTTGAGGGAATTTCTAGTGCCCATGTGATGCAGAAAAATTCTCAACACTCCCACAAGAAGAAATTCCAGCAAGAATTCGAACAAAAGAACACCACACCTTTTAAAAAGAAGAAGAAGAACAAGGAAAAAGGGGAATTGTTTCACTTGTGGCAAGCCTGGGCATTATGCAAAGGATTGCCTGGATGGCAAGTGGAAGCCGAAGAAGAAATCTACAAACATGATTGTGGCTGATGGAGGAACATTGGGGTATGGTAATTTATTACATACAGTTCTTTCAATTTTTCATTCACCTGATTGATGGGTGGATACATGAGCTAATATTCATGTATGTGCTGATATTTCTTTGTTTTCTTCCTATCAGGTTGGGTGGACTTTCTCTTTGTTGATGGGGAATGGGGCGCATGTGGCTGTACGTAGTGTTGGTACGGTCGATCTGAAGCTTACTTTGGGAAAGACCGTGTAACTGAGGAACGTGCAGCATGTCCCCTCAATAAGGAAGAATTTGATTAGTGGTTCTCTATTATGTCGTGATGGTTATAAACTTGTGTTCGAGTCGAATAAGTGCGTACTTTCTAAGTATGAAACTTTTGTTGGAAAAGGCTATGAGAGCGGAGGTTTGTTCCGCTTGTCTTTAAATGATGTATGTGTTAATTCTGTGAACCATGTGAGTCAGGTTAATGAGACAAATGTTTGGCATTCACGCTTATGTCATATTAATTTTGGTTGTATGACTTGCTTAGCTGGTTTAAATTTAATCTCAAAATTTGATTTGGTCAAAGGTTCTACATGCCATGTATGTGTTGAATCGAAACAACCTCGCAAGCCTCACAAGGCTGCTGCCGCGAGAGACTTGGCACCACTAGAACTAATTCGTTCCGATCTATGCAAAACGAATGGCGAGTTGACCAAAGGTGGCAAAAAGTATTGTATAACGTTTATAGATGAGTGCACTAGATTTTGCCATGTGTATTTACTAAAATCAAAAAATGAAGCGTTGCATTATTTTAAGATCTATAAAGCTGAAGTAGAAAACCAACTTGAGAAGAACATCAAATGGTTGCGAATTGATCACGGGGGGGATATTTCTCAAATGATTTTTCTAAGTTTTGTGTGGAGCATGGGAACCGTCGGCCGGGCCGGGCTGTGGGCGTGGGTGTGGGCATGGCAAGGCGAGGCAGGCGTCGAATGAGCGACCGGGCGGACAGACGAGTTTTGCCAATCAAATCACATAATTATGGGAGTTACTTCCTTTTTTGTGTTAGTGGTAGCTTCATGGCGGAAGTTTCGCCTGTTACTGTCGTCTTTGTCCTTCTGCGCCCGCTGCGTGCATGAGTCCTAGGAGAGTAGGCCTCCAAAACGTCTGTCGTCTACGAGTTTGCCAGCTCCGGTGATCCGCACTGCTACTCGTCTGCACTACATCGAGTGGGACGACTACATCAACAGGCACTATGTCTTCGAGTGCATCCGGCTCTGCCGCTGGATATGTTACTGTTAATCTAACCTTTCCCGTAAGGTTTTTGGCTTCAATTTCATTTCTTACTATGTTCTACATATATATTTGCCACAATAAGATCACACATGCATACATACATGATGTCACAAATCTTTTGATTATTACTATTTTCTAGATTAACTTATTACTGGAATTGCCTAAAATTCTAACATCATGTAGTTCTATATATGCTAATTGCGATTGCTTTTTTAACACGAATTTAATAGTGGCGATTGGCTATAAACAGAATATTGGCAGATCACACCCAAAATATTATTTTTTAGTCATGGTATAATACACGTGCAAACTATAATTGTCTTGGTCTTATTTTCGTTCGGTTGCAAACTTATGAGTACAATCCATAACTAAAATATACTATTAAGCACAAGTAAATGAGGCTCTGTGCACTCTAATACTAATTGTAGCTCCAACTTAATTAGCACATTTTTTATGGTTTGTCCTGGAGCCATATTGTCCATTTGCGTCGTCCTGACAGCGTTTTCTTCCAAGTAGAACGTGATCGATGCAGCCATCAGGGACGTGAGGCCTTTCCGTTCGGAGGCGGAGGCGGAACGCCAATACCAATTGCGCCCGGTCCACCGATAACTTCTCCTGAGAAGTGAGAACGAATATGAACGTGCATGCAGACAATTAGCGATGGTTCGTTGCCAGTTAGTACATGCTACAGACAGTACAAGTGTACAACATACTCTGATAGTCTGATCCATCATTGCTAGATGCGACACAAGATGAAGAAACGAGACGAGCGGTTTACAGTAACTAACCATAAGTAGCATCGCGGATTCCGTGGCAAAGGGAGCTGCTCAGGATCACCGTGGATACGACCAGCAGTAGCGTGAGCCACAAGGTCGCGAGCAGACGGGAGGTTTTAGTGGAGGATGCCATTGCGCTATGCTGCTGGCAGCTGTTGCTTGTCCCTGTGAGCTCGAGACGATATATGCAACTGGTTTGCTGAAACTGCCATCTCGGTGAACGTATTTATAGGCATCACACACATCTCGGTCGGTCCGTCTGTTCAACTGGCGTTTTATTGGAAAGTAAAATGGAGCAAGTAACTTCGGTGGAAATTGGAGTCAGCAAGGCAGTCATTGAGTCGGAGATTTTTGTCATTGAGTTGGAGATTTTTCTCCGAGAAAACAGAAGATGACTATGACTCGTTTCATGCGTACCCTAGGTTTCGAGTCTGATAAGCCTGGCCCTGACCGTTTCCCTAACCGGGCGAGACTGGCAAAGGAAACGAACAAGAACAACCAAGCCAACCGAGCGACGGTGGCTCCTGTGTAGAAAAATCACCAACAGTGTTGCCCGACGACCTTGACTCCGGCCGAGTATGCGCCTTCCAAAATGTAACCAGTAACTCAGGCTGTAGGCCCATAGCTCTTCTCGTGCAGCCATCGGTCCCATCTTTAGTGTTCTTCTTCTACGTTCCCTCTAATTTTAATATTTCCTCTCTGTTTGCGCCAGTGCCAATTGGTGTGAGAAAATTGTCCAATAGATTTTTTTCTACTCACTCCATTCAACATTGTAACTGATTCTAAAGAACTGATAGCTATGTGTATAATGTGAGTACGTTTGCTTATAGAGGTGAGTGTGAATTTGTGTTCTCAAGTGTATACATTATACTATTACTAGATTCGTGCCCGTACGTTGATATGGGACAGCTAAATTTTTGTACTAAAAATACACACATCGCACAATAAGATAACAATACTGTGAAATTAACCGACGTTAAAGTGACATTTAATCCAAAAAGCAAATTTTATGAAATTAACACAATCACGGAAAGCGCGGTGTCGCAGGCTCACAAACTCTACTGTATAAACCTAAAAATGTAAATAGACCCAGAAATTTAGGAGACTTTGAAAATGCAGAACCAATGCAACTATTATTCAAGAAACTCTTTGGTCACCAGGAAGTTCAAAAAACTTTGAAAATGCAGAACCGATGCAACTGTTATACAGGAAACTCTATGCAACTCCTAAGGTCGTCAGTTCATTGAACTTTCAGTGTTCTTACAGCTCGAGATAAATTCTCTCTATGAAGTATAGAATCAACTAACATACATGATATACTCTAATAATCAATCCTTTAGTCTTCCACAATGGGTATCCTTTGTTTTGAGGATGGTTGGCCTCCATCACCATTCCATGTAGCTCCGGGCGGTGTGAACACACTTGCTCTATCGATGGAGATGAACTCGGAGACACACTCCTACTGGTAACTTCACTGTGGTAAAAAAAAACTAAAATAGGTAAAAGCTACATGATTTATATTTTAAAAAGGGGTAACGTCCTTGTGGTAAAAGAAAACTACAACAATGGCAATGGAGATTATTTACTCAATAATGAGAGCCGAGGACCGATTTGCACACGTGCAATCATATGTATATTACTGAAATCCCATTTTTATTTTTATCCATGCAAATTGCTAATATTCATAACAGAAACAAATCTGTAAGCTTCATTAGGCACCTCTCCTTCATGGTCAACTGCACCTTCAATTTTTTTCTAGCTCACTGGCCGTAGAGAACAGAGAACCGAAGTGTAAGTGAAAACCGACAAGTCAACCTGTAATGTTAATAGAAAGACTGAAACTATTGAGTTACCTAGGAAACAAATGGGTTGTAGAGAGACTTAGTAATTCAAAGACGATAGAAATTTCAAAACAGAACACCCTGAAGCCATCTCCCCTTTCTTGGTTAAACATTCTTCAGGAGATTACCCCTGAATATGTTACTTAGAGGTGCAATATCAAACGGCATAGTGTTAAGCTTGACACAATTTGCCTACCTGCTAGAGGATGCAGATTGCAGCAGGACTTGAGTTTATGCCTTCTTCATAGCACATTTCCTCTGTGTGTTGGTTTTCCTTAACGTTTCTGATAATCCAGCAGAAGACAAATACATGCTCATATTCATCTGCTTCGTATAAGACAGTGAAATTAACCAAACATTCTAATAAGTTAGCAGTCTAGAAAACCACATAATTTTACACTTCGAACTGATGTAGCAATGGCAAATATCTATAGGTAGCATACTTGAGCATATAAAGATGCTATGTACCAAAAAGGCAAGAAAATACTGCATCATATCCATCAATGGTGATCGATGAAATAAAATAGAATAGGAAAAATACTACACACTAAGACTGAATGACAAGCACACATACCTATATGTATGTAAGCTTCAGTGGTTTGGCATTTCTACAAACATGTACTTCCCACGCCACATTTATGCAAAGGTGCAAACCTTTTGACAAAGACCAACACAATGTGGATCCAAGATTAGTTAGAGACTAAAAAGAGGGACCATGAAGCGAATCAGACCTTTCAGGATGTGCGAGTCAGTCCAGCACTTCAGCTGCAAAGTAAGCACGGCAGCAGAGCAACTGAATGATAACGGCAGGGACATGGATCCAAGCATGCCAACATTTAAAAGAATACCTTGCTTTTAAATCCTTGCCATATCAGTTATTGAAACCTCTGATGTGCCCTAAGCAATTGAAGCAAAGATCCCTCAACTTTCTTCCTGCTTCTAGAATTGGACAGATCGGATACAACACCTCAACTTCTACCCACTTACCCAGACATAGGTGAACACCAAAATTAATTAGTGGCATCTGGAATGCAAGACTTGCCTCAAGCACAGGCTGTGCGACTGCCTCATACACAAGTTTGTGTCTAGCATTTTCATTGAAGACATCATGGAATTTGTAGGATTCACATCTCCAATTATTTTTCTTCAGTTCCAGCCTCAGAAAACAAGACCATCAACACAATCGGCTGCAGAAAAAAAAAACTCTTTATACAGTTCAAGCGATTACCTTGACCGCAGCTAGCGGTTCATAGTCGAAAAATAATATCGTATTCATTAGGCAAATACATATGTAAACTTTAATTAGATCAGATCCTAATAGGGTTCGTGTGCTCGGTTTCGGACGGCAGGAAGGGAAGAGAAGGGGTATGAATACCTGGTGGGTGTTGGCCACCGGCGGCGTGTATACTGCACCATCTTGTGCGGCGTCAGCTCTAGCACCGCCTTGTCAATGCTGCCCCGGACGCCGCGTCTGCCGCGGCGCCGCCGCCCGCTGACCCACGAAACGCGAACTCAATCATGCTTGTACCTCAATCAATCTGTAATGAACTCGTGGTACTCGGCCCTGTATTCGGAAGAAAAAAATAACCAGAATAATTTGTAGATGATCCTCAAAATGGGCACCTTGCAGCCTCTCTTCTTCGTGAGGTTGTGGATGTGGTTGGCCTGATCACTACTAAGAGAAGGTGTTCTTCCCAAATTGACCCATCTGCATTAAAAAGATCAGTAAATTCTATTGGCCCACAGGATCACTGGCTCAGGTGAGTGAACCACTCACCGGTCTTGCCGAGCACCCGCTAGTGTTGTCGAGCACCTACTAGCCGTGCCAACCACGCACAAGCATTGTCCGTCCCCACACACTATGGCTAGAGCTTGAAGAAGAAGGGAGAATAGCGCATACACACACAATACAAGACACCAGTGTTGGCCGAAGCCCTGTATGGGAGATGACAAATCTGAACTCTATTTACTGAGTTGCCGTGGTAGTCTATTTATACAATTCTAATCATCTAATCCTAGTACAATGCACATGCTGTAACAGTAACTAGATAACATACAGGGCTGACTTTGCGCCGGCCACTGCATGTGCCTACAGTGTTGTAGGTGAGCCATGCGGCGCCTGCAACTACAGCGGCTATAGAATCATAGCAGGGGGCCATTCGGTGCCGCCTAACCTTGCTGTGTTCACACAAGGTAGCAGTAGATTATCTAACAAATTTAATCTCACACTCAGAAATTATGTGGTCCAAAACAACAAAGAGCATGAAGTCTTGCAGCAGAAGATTAATCAGAACTATAGTAAAAAATGACGCTCCTAGAGAATGACCATATAGGCACACACATAGAAAAGGAATCAGCTTTCAAAATTATACATACTAAACCAATGTGACCATATCCTGCAGGGTCCCACTCGTATTTTTATCAATTGTAAGCCAATAGAGAATGCCCCAATCACACACCCAAGTTTCTCAAAACAGTTGAGTCTGTCAGATCACCTGTCAATGGTACAACATGGTGGTTCATTAAATCATTAGTATACGTATTTAAAATTATTTTCTTTTAGGTTGAGATAACACATTCAGTTTTAGCAAAAGCCAACTACACTAACTATCGAGGAAGAAGAATTGCACAAAAGATCATTTGATGAGTTAGCAATCACATAAAATGGGTTCGAAGGCGTTAGCAAGCGGAAGCCCCAGTGATTGCCCAGAACATGGACAAACACACGGCACTAATCTTCAACACTTTCTCCCATCTGTATAGTTCAGAACAATATATTTATTTGCAAATTACGTAACAAGCAGAAGCACCCATGAATTATCATCTGCACTGCTGACTGATCGTCGGAATTTTGAAGCAGGCATCTGTGGATGGAGATCAGAAGAACTAAAGAAGAGATAAGGACTGAGCAAACCTTGCAGGCAATTCCTCCAGCAGGGACGGGCGATGTAGGTAGCACTAGGGTGTGAATGAGCTGCACAGCCCCGGCGATACTGCTCACCTCCTTCCTCGCGTCCGGTCAGCAGCGACGACGTGCCGACGTCCCGCGCATCGGTGGTGCGCGGCCTAGTCGTCGAGGCTACGTGCTCACGTCCTCCCTCGCATCCAGCTCGGACACTTTAGCTCCTCCGCAACCGAGCGCCATGGCTCCTCCACCACCGGCCAGCAGCGGCGACGTGCTTGATTAGGGTTCAGTGCTGGTTTAGGGTTTAGTGCACGATCGAGGTCGGGCTGTGGTGAGGGCGATGACGGTGCAAGATCCTGGAGGGTGACGGCGACGAAGGGGGCAGCG